GATCATCCGTGCTATTCTACGTGCAGAGGAAGGGCAAATGAGAAAGTAAACTCTTACTTTTTCATTCAACAGATGCATACATACATGGTGCTTTTGTCTTGAGTAAAGCCAATGATGTGTTCTTATATGGGACAGAGAACTAGTAAATATCATGTTCCTCATTTGCCCTTGTGCTGAATCTCAGCAGCAGAACAGACGAGGCATAGCGTTAGGTGTTAGTACATACCATTGCCTTGGAGCTAAATCAGAAGGGGCGTAATGCAGGGAGAGGGGAGAAGCAAAAAGGGACAGAGACTAGTCTTACTCACAACTTCACAAAATAAAGTCAACACAACAAGCATGACGGCTAGTGGACAGTCATTGTTCCAGCTCAGTGCTAATTTGGTAAAACATATTCCGAACCAAATGACCCTTAGTTTGCATTTGAGAGGACTGAGCTGGGACAAACTGTAAGATATTTAATAATTCGGACAGGAAGACGTGTCAGTGATTGCTAAGCTTTATTTAGTTTGGTTTTAAATGAAAAGGTTGGGATTATTCCACATCTTTCTTATTGTCAACAAAACCCATGAAAAGACCAACGATGAATCGCTGTATGATATATCTTATTCCCCTGTGCTACAGAGGTCCAATGTTATCCAAAAACTATTACATAACTATAATACATCAATGAGCCACACTGATGGCATGTTCATTTATTACCACAAACATGAGCACTATACTCAGTCCCACATACACCATCCTGCTGCTCTAAATACTCATTAGACTCACCAACTGTGGATAAATCCGCCCCTGAAGATAGTCTTCAACAAATATGCTAATTACTAACGTTGTGCAGATGACTCACTTTTTTAAAAATGAAATTAAAAGACGGACTTGTGCATTATCCGTTTTAGGATTGTTGACAATAATGAAACATTATGTACATTATGTGTGATTTATCCAGATGCATCACACAGTAGCTGATTGTTATTACAGTGTAATAAATCTAATATAATTTAAGCTCAAAGGTCAATATACTAGCTGCATCTCGCAGTCTTCAGTCATGGTCTCATAACCTGGTGTCATACGTTACCCTGTGACCTTCTGATCAGTCCATGAGTATTTATATAATTTCCCTCTGGGATTATTAAAGTATTTCTGATTCTGATTCTGATTCTGAGTAAAAGGCTGATGAATGAAGGCTCAAATGTTTTTTATGTGTGTATCTGTGGTCCAGGGGTGAGGAGCCTAAGTGTCGCAGAGCTGAATGAACGTCTGGAGGAGACAGAGACAAACATCAGGAGGTTCTCAGAGGAGCTGGTGCAGCAGCTGGCTCTCAGAGACGAGCTGGACTTTGAGAAGGAGGTGAAGAACAGCTTCATCTCTGCGCTCATCGACGTGCAGAACCGGCAGAAGGAGCACCGCGAGCTGCTGAAGAAGAAGAAGAAGCTTAAAAGTGGAGCCGGGACGTCGCAGGGTCACGTTGAAAAGACACTTGGATCAGTGAGTGCTCTGTTCTGAGGAAACATAACCAGCCTGGTTTATGTGTGTTGATGTCTTATATGATAGGATAGAATCTTTCTTTTCTCCACTGTTTGCTGCATTTCTTTCCAGAAATCTTTTCCCATCTTTTCATCCCCTCCTTGTCTTATGTTTCTCTGCTTTACTTCCTTCCTCCTCAGCGTTTTAGCATGGAGGGACTCTCCTCAGTCATTCAGAGCAGCTTCCGGCAAACATTTGGGAGTGGGTGCATTGAAAGACAGGTTACTTTGTTATTTCTCTCTCAGCTGCTACACTTAAACTTTCTGGTTTCTGCGTGGAAGGAAGGTCATCCCTGTCTTTATCTCTTTCTTTATGCTGGTTTGCAGTATTTGACCACAGTCATCCCTTACGAGAAAAAAGGACATCCTCCTTCGCTCGAGGACCTCCAGATCCTGACTAAGAGTAAGTTTCTTCATCTGTACCAGCAGTGCTTTATTTTTAGTGGATGTGATTGATCCACTCACCTCTCTGGTGTTTTTCAGTTCTACAAGCTATGAGAGACGACAGTGACAAGGTGCCCAGTCTCTTAACAGACTATATTCTCAAAGGTGAGACTTTCTCTTCATTGTTTACAGTGTTTAGACGTTGGTGATATGTTGGCAGTGTGTATCAGTGAATCATGTTTCACACAAAGCAAATGATCAAAGACTGATCAATTGTGACCGAACTAGTGGCGTAAAGTTAAAGAACTGCTAAAGTTGTTTTGCATGTTACAGTCCATTTACTATAAATCAATAGAAAGTAAATACTTAAAGCGTCAACATTTTGTCTTGACTCTAGCGGCCCCTGTGGACAACAGTGGTAGTGTTTCCACCTTCTCGTTTCACTGACTTCAATATTGTATTATATCATATTATCACATATAGTTGTTGTGTTGTTTAGATTTTATTTGCTACACTGGTTTCGGTTCATTATAAAATCATCTTGAAGACTTGATATACACAGTCCATCACTGTATGTCTTTTTGGTCAGCATACATTACTGTTGCTTGGTATTGCAGTTGAGAGCAAGTAGTACTACTACTTATGATTCATATCGGTGTGTTCAAGGACACACAAATAACAGCTGACTGCAACAAAGCATTGCATTTACAAGGTTGCATTGTTGGAAAATCATTTGTAAATGAAAAACAATAAGCAAATATTCAGTTTGTAAAAAACTAAATAAAAATCTGGTAGCTGACTCTGAGTTCTCAAAAGTTGCAGTTCCTGTGTGTAACTGCACTACAATGCAGCGGTAAATGAAAAACTTCCGGTTAAGCAAGTTTCAACTGCAAATTGACTTTCACACTGTACTGAAATCAGTCACCAGCTGTCGCCATCCAGTATAATAGGCTATACCTCCTTTCACACGATCTGTTTTCACTCTTTCATGTTTTCTTTCTCTACTTCTTATGATCTAATTTGTTGCTGCCTTAGCTCTGGTGTGAGCGACGGATGGAGAGGTTTGTGTGACACATTCATGTGATGTGCACTGTTGTGGTGTTGCCACTCACATTGGGAAAGCGCCCCCTCTCTACCACCGGGCTGTAGTGCAGTCTGGCCCCCCCGATGTTCTCCTTTTCACGTCTCCCCTCTCCCACGCAGTGACTGGCTGCAGCATGGTTGATCCCTCTTACTGTCAGTGACTCACTGCCACACACATTAAAGCTCTATTTACCCTGCAGTTAACATTTAAGACACCGTTTTGTGATTATTAGTTATCTAGCACTGCCCAGACTGCAGATATTTATCCTCACCCACAGAAATAGGTTTGTGTTTTAATTTTCAGATATTTATTACTAACTTGTGTGTTAAAATTTTCCTTTTTTCCTTTTGTTTTTCCTCGTCTTTATGTCCAACTTTGTATTTTGTACTAATCCACTCATGCTGAAGCTTTATCCCTGATCAGTCATATCTAATATTAATCTCTACTGTTTTTACAGTGCTTTGCCCAACGTAGACCAAGGATGGTGCCTAACACTCTGCAGAGGCTTCAGATAGTTTACCATGGCAACAAGATGAAGAGGACCCATTGTGTTTTTTTTTCAGACATGAAGCACACTTAATTTATTCCTGCATGTTTTTTTCCTCAAGATGTGTCTTTTTTGTGTTCTATTCTTCATTTAGTTGTATTTATTTTGTGTTGTGATTTTGCAAAAAATGTGTGTTCGTGTGAAATTTGACTTACTTTTCTTGTTTTTAATTTTCTTGCACTGTGAAAGAGTAGTCTAAAAACACTAAATTATATGAGAAATATACCCAGATAGACATACCAGCATAGGAGCTGCACTGTTTGGAAACTGAGCTTCGCTTGTTGGTTGTAAGTAAGAGCAGAGCTACGATGCAAAGGGCCTTTTATTTATGTGAAGTGCTTAACTATTCACTGAGCAATGAGCAAATGCACAAAGCCCATTGAACACAGAGTTTTAACACATAAAGAGAGTTTGTGAAGCATCAAAACTGTAAACAGAAGAGTAAAATAAGATTTAAAAAAATTAGTATTACAGCAGGACACGAGAAAGATTGGAGGTGTAAGATAAAGAAACAAATAAATGAGTTAGTTACCTTGTGCATAAACCATCATATAATTCAACACAGCTTTCCATGTAGCAGCAGAAAACCTGTGCTATCTGTGTTCATCTCAGCAGAACAATAAATACATCATTATTATTACACTATGGAAGAGAAAGAGTTGATGGTCATGGTGATGAAGTCTGGACTGAAATTAACTAATTAACTATGCATTTGAGTGAATACTGAATTGTGACCCATGCACTGTCTGTACCTTTGTGACGCTGACTGGAACTCTGAATCAGAGACTGCAGCGTCGACGTGCCTGCTGTGCACACCATGAATGGGCATTATTAATCTGTATGTATTCTTGTATATGAACAAGCTGCCTTTGCCTTTGCCTGAACTTTTGTACATTATAAATGACTTATTTTCATTGAATGTCAAATTGCTGGACTACTTACAGAACCTGCTTCATTGTTAATTTATTTTGTAAATATTTTATTTCAAATATATTGATAAAACCACACCTGCTTTGTCTCAGTATGTTTTATTCATTTCATAATCGACATGCAAACAATAAACTCGCAATAATGACAATTAGACAACATCATCAACAACAAAAACAGGCCTAATCAATGCCTTGTAACAGGAATGTTAATCATGTTACAGCCAATATGTAGGGCAAAATAATTAGCGAATGAAAGAAGTGGCGTTAAAAAAGTAAGGCACCCTTTTATAAATACATTTTAAAAATCTGAAAATAATAAAATAACAATAAAACAAACAAACAATGCTGTTTCATTTAATTTTCTATTACTTCTTTGACCTTCTTCCTGCAAATAATTACTAATTGTTTGTGGTAAGTGATTTAAAAAAGAAAGGATCCTAAATATTTTATTATGTTATATGTTAACAGTAGGAGCCATTCCAATCTTATATATTTCCTGGTAGCAACAAAGCTTTACCCAGATGTTTAAATTCAGATGTATTTAGGTCTTATGAGGAGAAGGGAGGGATGAACATTTATAGTATGCTGGGAAAACTGAAATAATTCCCACCGCAATTTAATTACAAGACCTAAAATTACACATAAAGGAGACAGGGTGTACGATGAGAGTCCTGGGGGTCTTTATCGCATCACTTTAATGTGTTATTTGGCTGTGAGGTTTCTGTATTCAGAGACTGAAATTAGGCATCACTGAACATTTAGAGACAGCTTTCTCCTTGTTGGCAGAGGTCACTAAAATCTCAAGTGAGGACTAGTCTTAGAGAAAAGACATGAAACACAAACAAATATGAAATTCCCAACAGTATTTCCACATTATATAAGTCTCTGCCACGTGTATCCCATCCAGCTCACTGAAGAGATCCAGATGTGGGCTGTGGGACAAACCCTAAAATATCCAACCTCTGGCCTGTTAGAGCCCTCAGCAGAAACACAACAGGCCCCCTTTTGACAGGAAAAAGCCACGGTTCAATTAGCAAGCAGCTATGAAAAGGCACTTACAAAACTGTTTGTAGCTTAATATTTGTTGTTGTAAAGTGGCACAGAAAGATGCAGATACTGGATAAAGAAATGGAAAGGCCCATTTAAATTCTGTTTGTGTAATAAATGTGACACAACACACACTTAATAGACACACACACACACACGCTCATACTCACACAAACAACACAAACAGACAGACAGAAAGACAGACAAACAGATAAGGCCCTGATGTAATTTATTGGTAACCTACAAACATGTGGAAGCCAAGTCATGCTTGTCTGAATGCTGCTAAACTCCTGCTCACCATCCATCTCCCTTCAGCATTTCAAAAGCAACACAAACAGCTGTTAAACATCTGTAAAACATTTGTTCTCTCTGAGATAAGATTTCCTCATTCACTCCGGGCGGGTAAAACACAAACAGTCTGGCCAGCGCTCAGAGCTGTGAGGAGCTTTTTGTGGTGCTGCACCAAAAACAAGTTTCTTTACGGTGGATTTTAAGTGTTTTTCCAAGTATTATGGATGCTAGAGGGGTTTGCTTGATGTTTTGCCTTCTCATGCTGGCACACTGCTCATCCCAGCAGACCTCCTCCAAGAGAAGAAATGGCAAGAAAGGTAGGACTCGATATTAACTTGACATTTGGAAATGAAAACAATGTCCTTACTTGTCAACTCCATAAAAAACTTTTGCAGAATAACAGCGCTGATCAGAGAGTTCATTGGGAATATTGACTGAGTGCATTATGCTTTAAAATATTTTTTTTTGCATTTTGTTTCCAACAGACTCTGCAAACAATGCTGCAATTGAGGAGCTGAAGAAACAGATTAATGACATTGTTCAAGAGCTGAATTTGTTGAAAGAGAATCAAGCTTTACAGACAGGTATTTTTGTTTCTCAAATATCACACGAATACATATTGTTTATATATTTTAAACAACATGCTATATGTAAAATAAAAAAGTCAAGATGGAGTGGCAGACTGTGACAACCGATTTAACATCTTTCCAGTGATGGAGAACCCAAAATAGACACCTGAGCCACACTGATTATCTCTTAATTTCCTCAATTTTCCTCAGTTTGTCTGCGAGGCACCAAGATCCTCGGCAAGTGTTTCCTGGCTGACCCAGCAAAGAAGACCTTCCACGCGGCCAGTGATGACTGCATTGCCAAAGGGGGCAGCCTGGCCACTCCTCTGTCAGGAGACGAGAACGACCAGCTCTACAGCTACGTCCGTCAGAGCATCGGCCCAGAGGAGCACATCTGGCTGGGCGTCAATGACATGGTGACCGAAGGCCAGTGGGTGGACCAATCGGGCTCCAACGTGCGATTCAAGAACTGGGAGACAGAGATCACCCTGCAGCCAGACGGGGGGCGCAGCCAGAACTGTGGCATCCTCTCCACCACAGCCAACGGGAAGTGGTTTGATGAGAGCTGCAGGGCAGAAAAGGCTTCTGTGTGTGAGTTCAACATCGTCTGAGGGCCGATTCCTGACATTAACGTCACTCTGTGCAGATAAACGCTGCTTGCAGTAAAAAATGAAACATGTAGAGTATCGGGTACATTCATGCAATACATTGAAAAATAATGTTCTGCATCTTTCTTAAACTCACATTTTCTTGAGCAAGCCATTCAGGTGTCATTTGACTTTTCACAGCGGTCTGGGATACAGCATGTCATTGTATAAGCTAAACTCACTGAGATCATTTACATTCATTTAATAACTAGTGTTTTCAAAGCATATTAGATATTCATGAAGGTAAACAACACTGGATGGCTTGTCTTTGTTTTATGTATTTTTGTGTGGTCTGCTAATGAATGCATTAAACCTTTTTTTATTTACTGAAGAACAACCATTATGAGGGCCTTTTCTGTGGCACTTTCTTTCTTTCTAGCTCTGAATGTCAAGTTATGCTGCCTATTTTGCATTATATAATGTATAAACATGTGTCTCATTGAGTTCTTGCTCAAGTCAAACATTCAGCAGATACAATGGGAATTTTTCATCAGAGAGAAACAATGTTTGCTTAAAAAATGCTTATGTAACTCATAAAAGAACTTGGCTGCTTCAACTAATAATAATAACGAAACAAACTTGGTTTTAGGTTGCAGTCTTGCTCCCAGTCTTTTTTTCCCAAGCCCAGTGCGGTTAAAAGGTCACAAGTTTTCCTTTTAAAAAACACTGAGGAAAGGGTTAAGTTGAGCAAATGTATATGAATGATGTGTTTTGAGAACTTTTCACTTACTTACAACTTAAGGAAATGGTAAACATTAACAGAAGGGTCAGGACTGAGATAACCAGCACAATGAGGATGTCAGGTTTTCTTTTTCTTTCTCAAGTGTCACCACTTCAGAAAGCAAACAAGTCAGGGAAATATATATTATAGTTATAGAGGAGGATGTACATGGGGCACAGTGTGCAGGGAAGATAATGTTTTCTGCTCGCACATTTCTAAAAACATTTCCCTGCTTGATGAGTACAATGTCTCCACCCACCCACGCTTTTCTTGTCATGAAAACATTAGTTTCTGTACTGCTGCTCTAAACAATTTACCCACCCAAAGAAAGATTACATCAGATCAACATGTTTCGACATCTCCATGGACATCTGCTGATGTCAGCAATGTGTTTGTAGAGAGCACGTCCTCATCTCAGACTCTTTACCTCTTTATGTCAGTCCATCAGACTGTAGAGAATTTATGTTCATATTTTACATGGCTCTTAAAATTAACTTCACATTCAGAGAGCAAAAATGAGTGAGAATGTTTTTATCGCAACTTTGAAGTGTTTCCCTCTGCAGTTCATTCTCTGAACTGCAGGAGGTAACATGGCTTTACAAGACAAACACACAATTCATTCGTTCATTGAGTTTTTTTCACAAGTTTCATCATACATCTTGAACAAGATTTTCCTTGAATGAGACCAGATAATATTCTTGCATCTTCTTATAACTAATATCACAATCAATACCTTAAATAGAGATTTTAATATGCTGTGTTGTTATTTTCTATCCCTGTTAATGTACAAACTGTTGAATTTCACATAACAAAATCTGTAACTTAGTTAGGACTTGGTTTGTACCGTGACCTTTTACATCGGTTGGTTGAACAACAACGTCTTCACAACAACACACGGGCACTCATTACTTATGTTAAATTATAGGCCTCACACAGCCTCTCTTTTAAAGGCTACCTGTAATTAATAACACAATTCAGTCAACCAACAAACATACTGACTTTTTCTTTGTGTGATGTAACTTTTTGCTCACATACTGCAATTAAGTATGTGAGCAATGTGTCATCCTAGTCCAGCAAAAGGGGGTAAAATATAAATAGTAAAATATGGTTTCTGACTTGTGATTTCATCGTGATATACACGCAGAAAACAAACTCATTTAGCTAGCAGCAGGAGATTCCAAAAATGTGGGTTCAAAAAAGAACAAAAGCACAACATTTTCATTCATCCCTGGACCAAAATGGCTGAAAACAACTCTAAGATCTGTATTAGCAGGAGTGTAATGACCTTTCTGCAAGGCACATTTATGGTGTAACGATGCTGTATCTAGAAGTCTCCATAGCAGGTGCAAAAGCAGTGGTAAAAAATATAGAGATATAGAGAGATACTCCATGCACACACACACACACACTGCTGGTGCAATCTCCTGCAATACGGGCCATCATCAGGCCATCATGTTTTGATGGTGCTATAAAAAATGCAGTGCATCGCCACAGCAGTGGAGTACTCTCAACGGTTTAAAGATAAAAATGAAAAACTCAGCATGTAAACAGCACACACCTTCGCTCCTGTATAAACATCCATAATATGTACAAAATATCTCCAATGACAAATATTCACTGCCTAAAAGCTACACAAGATCTCTTTATAGTGGCAAAACCTGGTATAAAGAGGATGATTATGTACTGCCAAACACCAAATGTGCCTTCATCGGAGATAAAACAAGGTAACAGCTGCAGGCAAGTTTGAGCAGCGTTATTTTGTGTGCCTGGCTTTGGTGCAAAACAACGTGAGAGAAA